AAAAAAAAAAAAAAAAAAAAAAAGATAAAACAGAATGGAAACCCTGCTAGACAGCGAAACGTTAAAGAATTACGAAAAGGAAACGAACGAATACATTCGCAAAAAAAAAGTGGAGAAACTGTTCGATGTTATTTTAAAAAATGTCCTGGTAAACAAACCAGAAAATGTGTACCTGTACATATACAAGAACATTTATTCCTTCCTTTTGAATAAAATTTTTGTGATCGGCCCTCCTTTGCTGAAAATTACTCCTACCTTATGTTCTGCGATTGCCAGCTGCTTTAGCTACTACCACCTCAGCGCCTCGCACATGATCGAGTCTTACACGTTTGGTGAAGTAGCTAACGCTGCAGACAGTTCGACAAGTAAAAAGTTAGGTACGCGACGAGGGGTGAGAGGGGGGGGAGAGACGAACAGGCACATACACATGTGCGCGTCTTAGTAGATAAATTCGGGATGAACATAAACAACTGCTACGTGAAAGCAAACATGAGCTACTGTCTGTCCTTTTTTTTGTCAACCCCATTTGGACGTATCTGAACTATTAGCTTTTTCGCAACATTAATAACTGTGCATAACTTTTTTGAACATTTTATTAACAAAAAAAAAAAAAAAAAAAAAAAAAAAAAAAATAGCTAACTGGAGTACCACTTTTCGCTAGCTGTTTTTTTTAACAAATAATCCACACCTCCCATTACCCCCATTTTGCACATCCCCCTTTTCCCAGTCACTGACGACTTAATTTGCTCCATCGTTAAAAGCAATATAAACCAGCTGAACGCGAAACAAAAGCGGGGGTATGTGGTTGAAGGGTTTCCCAGTACCAATCTTCAGGCAGACAGTTGCCTACGGCAATTGCCGTCCTATGTTTTTGTTCTGTACGCCGACGAAGAGTACTTTTATGAAAAGTACGAACAAGAGAACAACGTAAAAATTTGTTCTGACACGAACAGCCAAACCTATGATGAAAATACACAGTTGTTCGAAGTGGCCGAGTTCAACACGAATCCACTGAAGGATGAAGTAAAGGTCTACTTAAGGTAAGGTGTCCAATTGTGGCACTGCTGTTGGTGAAATGGTGTCCCTTCAGCCTAAAGAGTAGCCGTTAGCGTCCATCCCCCCCCTGTGTTTTTTATCTCCACCAAACGTGAAGCCAACACATACATAAGTTACTCACCACACGGGAAAACTTTCACTGTGCACACTTTTTACTGCCACTACAACTTCACACCTACACAGGAACATCTCAGGGGTTATCACCGTTCTCGGAGACCGTAAGATCGTGCTAAACTTGCGCGACTACGACGAAAATAGCTTAATCGAGCACGTAATGGTATGCTACACGAACTGTGTCCGTCCCCTTTGTCGCTAACCCATGTTTGCGCACACTTTGCACCTTTTTTTTTGCCTGACAACGTGTTGCTCACCGTTTAACCTTTCACCACTTCTCCATTTTTAACACTTTTTTTTCACATTCACTTTTTAAGAACACGATTGGCCAGACGAAGGATGAGTGGAACTGTGTGTTTGACGATTATGCAGTGGATTGAGCTTCTGTTACACGTTCCTCCAGCCTAAGTGTGCGTTTGCACATGGAGTTGGCTTTGTTGCTCTTGTTGCCTTTTCCATCCGTTGAATAATACGTCACTTCCATTGGGGGCACGCCTTACACCCCTTCAACTGCGTAAAACGTCGGACCACGAAGCAGAAAAAATGGGCGGTTATACCTTCCGTTATCCCCCTGTGCAAATACAACACAAAACCAAAGGCGTAATTGCTGGAATGGCGAAGTTTTCCCTTACGGATGGAAGAGTTACTTTGTTACCTACATAGCGGAAGCACTGCGCGCAACAGAGTCTCTCTCATTGGGTACATGCACGTGTGCATACTCTCCATATGCAGCACTACCTATGCGCTGGTGTATGTGCGGGTTTTAGAATTGGAAGGCGATTTGTTTACACCCAAGTATCTCCCACTGAAATGCAGCACTTGTGGGTTATGCTAAGCACAACAAAAAATAAAATAAAAATAAAATAAAAATAAAATGGAGTAAAATAAAATATACAAAATAAAAATAAAATAACCTGACTTGTGCATACAAATTTGTGCCTTTTTTTTTTTTTTTTTTTTTTTTTTTTTTTTTTTTTTTTTTTTTTTTTCACCCTTTATCCATGCTCAATAGAAACTAGAAACACTACAAAACGTCACATTTTTTAATAGCAAAACAACTTGCAAAGATGTACCACCGTTTTTTGCCATTTCTTGTGACACGAAAGTAGCAAACGAAGTTATACACGTGAGAAAAGTACCCCACCGGGTGAACATTTCTCTGGGCCGCTTTCACCGATCGTGACAAAATAAAAATTATGAACTGTTCATAATTTTTTTTTTTTTTTTTTTGGCTAACAGTCAGGCATATTTCGTATCACATTCTTGGTATGCCCATGCTTTAACACGAAGAGAGCTGTGTGACTTTGATGAAAGATCCTAACCAATCGCCTACCGCAAGGCACTTGCCATTTTTTATCATCCTTATGCAAAAGAGGTCAAGTGGCGGAAAGTTCATTTGACGTGCATGTGGTGGGGATTGACCTGCCAGGATAAGCACGTATACAGTGTGTTAACGTTGTGTACGTTTGACTGGTCCAGCACAGCTGTGTAGTTCTTCTCATCCCTCGCTCGATAACGCGTATACGCAGCTTGCACGCGTGCACATAAATAAGTACATATATACACCATTTTTTGTACACCTTTTTACACCCAACATGCAAGTCGAAAGCATGAATGCCGAATTGATGGGAGCCCCGCTGAGGGAAGACCCATACGACATCAAGACGCCCATTTCGGACGGCACGACCATCATAGGAATCATTTATGAGCATGGAGTGATGCTTGCGTGTGATACTAGGACATCCTCAGGAACACTCATCAGCAACAAGTGCTCCAGAAAAATAAACAGGATTAACGAAAACATATATGCCTGCCGTAGTGGAGCTTCTGCACACAGTCAGAAGGTAATCGAACTCATTAAGTATTTTTGCTTATCAATGAAGTGTGAAAATAGAAAGAAAGGAAGATTTCACGAGGGCGAAGTCATTACGGATGACCTCGCGAATGAGGAAGACATCGACCTCAGTACGATTAACAACCCATTCGGTTTAGTACAGAACGAGGATCCCAATTATGTCACAAAGCATAAATACTTTTACGAAGATAAATTTATGGACTTCAATCCTCTAGTTGAAAATGTTGCACATATGACGAAGAAGCTACTGTATGCCAACAACAATTTTCTCTCTTGTGGCCTTATCCTGGGAGGATACGACAAAGACAAGAAGCAACAACTGTACTCGGTTAACCTAAACGGAAGCATTGTCCAACGGTTCGACTACGCCGTTAGCGGCAGTGGCAGTGTGTACATACAGTCCTACCTGCAAGACAAGTACAAGAAAAATATGAGCAAAAAGGAGTGCTTTGAATTGATTCTGAGCTGCGTTAAGTACGCCATGTACAACGACAACAGCAGCGGGGGCATCGTCCGGATCGTAAACATAACCAAACTCTTCGTGGAGGAGTTTACCGTCACGAACACACAGCTGCACTTTGATTACTAGGGGGGAGGGTTAGCATAAGTATCGTAACGAATAGGAGTGTGCACGGTTCGTTGCGAGTCAGCACAAATATGAGCGAATATGTTGGAGGACTCCCGTGCGCGACACCTCCCGCGCGTATCCACACCAACCAGTGAAAACCCAAAAACATACATGTGCGTTTTGCATACTCGACGAACTTTTTCTAAGCCTTTTTTTTAAATTGTGCCGTAAGGTTTTTTTTTTTTTTTTTTTTTTCCTATTTTTTGTTCAGAAAAATTCTCTGTTCAGGTGAAATGTGAACGTGGCCTGGGCAGCTTTTACTTCCCTCCATTGGAGGGCATTTCGCTCGCCTGACACACACACACAGAAATGTGACGTGAGGAAGGGGAAAACATCGAGCGAATGGGCGCAGCGGCTGGAATCGCGCAGCAGGAAAAAAAAAAAAAAAAAGGAACAGAAAAAAAATATGCACACTTTTCATCCGTTCATCCCTCCTCGCAACTTTGCAACTTGTCATTTTGCGCCCTTTACAAGTAGGCCGTCCACAGCCCGCACGAGAAGGACCCCGCCATGTCCATACTCTCGTACATTTGCATGTCCAGCAAAGTCTGGCTTCCGTTAGGGTTCACCTCGCTGGTGAGCATTTCACCCTTTTCACGTTCCTCGACCAGTTTGTTTGCTTTCCTTCCCACATGTCTACATGCTGCTCTAGTCGATGACTGCTCTGTCTTGGGATCCACTCCATTTTTTATCAACGCAGCATCCTCATGGACGAATTCTATCCTGGCATAATCAGAGGACATATTTTCCCCCTCCTCAAGTGAGGCCTCTTTCCTTCCCAACGTGGAATGAATGTGTTCCTTCTGTTTTCCTTCCTCATCATTTTTGCCTACCTCAGAAAATCGCGTGGTGTCATCCGTCACATCCATTTCTGCCTTCTCACATGTACACTCGGACGCAGCAGCAGCAGGAGGAGGAGGAGGGAGTTCCCTTTTCATATTGTCTCCACCTTGGGAAAAGTCCAAAAATTCTTTTTCCTCAATTGGGGATAAGACATTATGCATGCTCTCTTCTTCTACGCTGCTCGTGTGCTCCTTCGTTTTTTCCTCCCCTGATGGGAACTCCGCATTGGTTTGCCCCCTTTCCCAGCTTTTGCACGAGGTCACTTCCTCGCCGCACGTCACCTGGGTGTCTGCTTCGTTTGACGCGTTTACCGCATTGCCCGCATTTACTCCGTTCCGCTGCGCGCCCTCCAATTCGTAACCCCGCAGCACGTCGTCGATGTAGTCCAGCTCTGCCACGTGCACCTCCGCCTCCTGGCTGCAAAAGTACCTCTCATACAAACTCTTGGCATAGGTCTGAACGAACTCTTCGCACAAGTTGAGGTAAAGTTCAACCGTTTCCTTGTCCCTTCTTATGACGCAGGAGTAGTCCTTCACGTTGCATGGGTAGGGCAGATCAGCCACCACGTCATCCTCATCGCAGTTCACAAATTTCACCTCGACCCTTTTCTTCTCAATATGCAGCACTACATTTTCACTCCTTACGAACCCCTTAGTGCAAATACAAATTTTAATTTTTTCTGGTAAGCTTATGAACACATTGGGGTGTTGTTTTTGTCCCCACAAGGAAGCTGCGTTTATGGACCCTTGGTAGGTGATAAAAAATTGCGTCTTCCTTGTGCGTTCCTTACCCGTTTCCTCTGTCTGACGACCCTTTTCCGCTTCCTGCTGATCCGTTTCCTCTGTCTGGAGATCCCTTGCCGCTTCCTGCATATCCTTTTCCTCTGTCTGAACATCCGTTGCCGCTTCGTGCAGATCCGCTTCCCCGTCCTTCCCCACGTGCACCTCCGTCTTCACCTTACTTCCTAACGTAAGTTGCGTCAATTTCGAGGGCGTCGTGGTGTCATGCGCCTTTTCAAACTCACTCCTCATAATCTCTAGCTTCTTCTGCACCTCTAGCACAACCGAGTGCCTTAAGAACTCCTTGTTAATGCACAGGACAAAAGGCTTCCCTCCTTTACAAACCATCCTGTTGGATATTTTAAAGTCTCGGCTTATCTTCTCTTTATCCTTTAGTATATTTTTTTCAATGTTCATGCACACGTCTTCCAGAAGGTAGTTCAGAATTTCGTTGTACGCCCTCACTGCGTCTATGGTGGAGGGGTTCGTGCAGCAGTCGACGGTAAGGCACGAAGCTCCTTTTCCTGCGGGAGGGGGAGGAAGCATCACACGGGTTGGTATCGTTACGCGGGTTGGTACCATCACACGGGTTGGCACGCGCACACCGGTTAGAAGTACTACACCGGTTAGGAGCAGCACAGAGAGGAGCATCACGGAGAGGGGCAGAACTGCCCCCACTTACCCGTCTTGTCTGGCCTCATTTGCGAAAGGGAGTAGGGAATGCTCAACTTGGCTCCCCCACCCCCCTCAAAGGACATACAGTGCATCCCCTCGTGTGAGCAAATATTGAAAAACATCTTCTGCTGTGTCTGATTCGAATAAACAATGTTGGTCTTCACACAAAAGGCTACAGTGGGCTCGATGATAATCTGGTTATTCTTCAGCTCCCCATTGAAGTATAACGAGTAAAGATACTCCTCCTTTTCCTTTTTATATTTTTCGTCTGAAACTTCATCGAAGTAATCATCAAATAGCGCTCGGAACTCGTGTTGCCTGAATGCCTTTTGCAGCCGCTCCTTCTCTTCGTAAGTAATTCTCAATTCCCCTTCGTCCTTCATGGTCCCCATGTAAAAACAGGAGCTTTTTCTGCACGAGATGGGCAGCAGTGATTACACTCGGGGGTATAAAGAAACGTGTGTGTGATGACCCCTATATATATATGTAATATATGTATAGGTAATATATTTATGTGTAATATATTTGTATGTAATATATTTATATAGAGCGTGTTTTTTTTTCTCTGCTTTTTTGGGGAGGGGCGTTATCCCCTTTCCACACACTCTCCCGCAGCAGCACGGTGGGTAACTTCTCCCCAGGAAGGAATGGCAAGGGGGTAGGCGCTTCTACCAAGGAAGTCCTTTCCTGTGTATGCCTGCTGTAGTTCCTTCTACGGCAGCGTCCAGGTGGGCAAATAATAAAATGTAGGCAAGTTACTTTTTCCAAACATGCACTTTACACAATTTTCCTTTCGCATGTGCGTTTGCAAAGTGATTCTTTTGTTCTCTCTTTGAACTCCGTCCACGAAAAAAAAAAAAAAAAAAAAGTAACACCGTTTCGGGGACGTGGACGTCTTTTTAATATGTACCTCTCACCCACCCCCAATTGGGGCGGTGCATTTCGGGGACGAGGGACTCTACTTGGCAAAACTGATTCTGCCGCACCCGGTGTGCGTACAACGGGGCCCCGGTACGCAAATAAAAAAAAAAAATAAAATAAAATAAACAATCAAGTGCAGCAAAAAATGAGGTAGCTAATGCCGACCCAAAAGAGCGCTGCCCACAAAAAAAAAAAAAACTCCCTCTTCCCCAACGCCAGCCCCTACACACGCAAGAAGTACAGGATGCACTGCAAGTAGTTCGCATCGCGTAGCTCCACGCGCTGCACCCCATCACACAAACGTATCATTTTGTCCTCCTCCCCGGGACACAACCCGCCTGACGCACTACCACCCTCGCTTATATTGTCGCTCAGACGAATCTTCGTCTCTCTCCTCACAGGGTTCAAAAGGAAATACTGCCCACCACGTGTGTACTTAAAAAGGAGACCCACTTGTTTATTCACAACCATGTGGAAATTTTGGCTATCATTTGTGCAGGTGTAATTATTGTGCCAATTGAAATATGCCAAATCATCTTTGCTTGCATAAATGTACCTTTTCTGGTTTATTTTTTGCCTGACCTTCTCACTGTTCACGTCTATGTAGGAGCTGATCTCCGACTGATTTTTATTAACATAACGAATGAACAAGATAGAACAAATTTTATTTGCTTCACAGAAATGCATGTGGCAATTTAATGCATAAAAAAAATTCATCGTGTGATCCGTTAGAGAGTTTATATCGTATTGAATCACTTCTGCTTTTGTTTCCTCTGCCTTCTTCAAACTCTCCTCTTTTTTTTTTTTTTTTGGTAAGTGCTGTTGAAGTCTTCGCAGCTTAGTACTCCTCTGCTTTGGAGTCCCAGTGAGAATATCTCGAACACCAGTTGTTCCTTCACGGAGGTAGGGGGAGGGATACACCATGTGCAGGTCTACATGGACAGAATGCCAAGGGACGGGGGGGGCACAGCCAGCTCAACGGTGAAACCACTTCAGCGGTGTAGTAGCTACACCATCACGTCGCCAGTCTCCCACTTACATCTTCAATGTAGAACAAATCCGCGGGGGTTATTTTGCTCTTCACGTATTCTTCGTACGAGTTGAAAGTGAGGATGCATTCGCCCTGGTCCTCCATCGTCCCTGCGCACAGGGGGGGGAAGAAAAGACGAATGTCACTCCATCCACCAGGGCGACATCAGCTATGACATCAATTTCACACCCCACATGAGCTTTTATGTCTACACCAAATTTGTGGGGTCAGGAGGAAAGCAAAATCACAATGCAGCACACTGTACACTTACCTATATTATGCAGAAATGAAAGCAACCCCCAAGGAGAAAGCAAAACGTATAATGTCACAAATGAATGAGCATGCGCCTTCGCCACGTCTCTTCCGCTTTGCAAAGTAACAGCCAATTTGGCTAGGCTAAGGCTGCGCAGTCCTCCCTGTCTACGGCAAAGTGCGACGCTGCGCAGGTAATGGTATGGCTTTACGCACATCCGCACAGCCGCACAACACGCGGATGATTACCCAAAAAGGAATACGTACCTCCGAGAGGTACGCAAGTGAACTGAATGAGCCTTTTCACCGTTCCTTAAAATTGTTCATACCGTTCAGGATTATTTTACCATTTCTCCTTTTGTGTGCATTACGCCAATGTGGGGAGAAAAAAAAAAAAAAAAA